TCCAAAGTTAAAGTATTTTGCTCTATTCTATATTAGTAAATTGAATTTAAGTGTTCTTCTTCTTTAATTATAATCCTTAGTTCTTTCTGGTTTCCTCTAGTGTCCAACCTTCAAAATCCCATCTTAACATTTTTTTTTTCTAAACAATAGCGTTTTCCCATGGGAATATAATTTATAATTAATTTCAAAATTATTTCAAATTCCTCTGAACCCTTAATCCATTTATAACTTTCTAAAATTAAGATTTGAATCACCGCTTTGTTGTTTATTCCCCCCTGCAATTTTTTTTAAAGTCCTTAATCTTGCACTTAAAACTTTTCTCCAAGGATTGAAGGAGACTCACCAGTGAACATTGTCAAACTTGCTGATCCGAAGGTTCTTAATAGCTGAAAAGCATTTTAAAAGCAATTCCAGAAGTGATTAGAAAATGAGGCTCGGCTGAGCTTTTTTTTCCATATAGGCTACGTTAATGGCCATGAGCTTGCTGGAACTCCCTTGACTCCCAGCTACTCCACTCTTGAGCTGACTGCAAAAACCTCAGTTCCTCCAGTCTACTCATGAGGAGCAGCTGTCCAGAGTACATGTGGGCAATCTCAGAATCTCTCCTTTTTCCGGAGAGATTAAAAGCAACCAGAATTTTCCTTCTGGTCGCTGATCTCTGCTGCAATGCCATCCCCGCTCCTTCGTGGATGTTCAGCTCCCCATGTCCTCACCAGAAGTCTTGTAACTCCAGTCATTTTGGAACTAGGAAGGAAATGGATTGGCACTGCATTGTGTCTTAGATTTGGCTATTGGGAGGGGGAAAAAGCCAAGTAAGAGAAATGGCAATACTTCTTGAATCAGTTGTGAGTGATGCCAGCCAATTGAGAATGCAATGAAGGTTCATAAGCTAATAATGAGGGAGAAAAGTGAAGGTAATTTGGATTACATTTGCTTCATTCTAAAAAGATAAGCAGTTTCCTCCTTTTGATGCAATTATCAAATCAGGGGAGGGGCATTTTTAACACTTAAAAAAGTTCATGAAAATTACCACCTTTCTTTTGGCTCCCTCCTAGCAAGACACTTTTCATTAACAGGGTCTATCTATGATTATAAGTCATACATTCATCATCCATAGTTCTGTGATAGCAAGCTGTACCTTCTTAAACAAGTCTAGTAATCTAAGAAAGCATTTTCTTCCATCTGGCCAGAACCTTCTGGGTCAAGGCTAAGGCCTAATCTTCATGATCAATGAGTGGTTAACCTGTTTCTCAGCTGCTTCATTGGAGACTGGAGCATGCAGAAAATGAGCAGAGGTGTTCTCTGTTGCTGCAGAAAGCAGAGCTACATGAGTGGGTGTTGCAAGGAAGCATTAAATTAAATGTTAGGGGAAACTCACTATAGTAGTAAATGCAAATTATCCATTGAAGAATCAGATGCAATGCTTTTTTTTCCCCACTGAAGGATTTTAAGCAGAAGTTGGTGTGGACTATTTGTTAGGGATGCTGTGGTTTCTGCAGAGAGCAGAAGGCTAAACATGAGGATTTCTAAGACACTTCCCAATTATACCATTCTATGGAATAGCAGGATAAAAATTTAAGAAAAGCACAGATTGCTCCTAAAATGGACTATAAGATGGGCCACTGTCTTTGCTGAATATTGATTTATAATAGCTGCATAATTGCAATACATCACATTCAGCTGTGTTATTGGGAGACCCCACTGAAAAATAGGTTTGCCAAATGACAAACTATGACACACCTCTCTCTTTTTAAGTTCCTTTTACCTGTTAATTTATTTTGTAATCTTCAGTGTTCAATGTGGTTCTGTGGACCTCTGAAGATTATAAGAGTCCTGGCTCCCTTAAACTTTCTGCTTTTCTTCCTTTCAGAAGCTTCAGTCTGGACCACGTAATGGAGCGCAAGTATGATTTTGACCTCATCTACATCACTGAACGTATCATCTCTGTCTCTTTCCCCCCTGCTTTGGAGGAACAACGTTACCGTAGCAATCTCCGAGAGGTGGCGCAAATGCTAAAATCCAAGCATGAGGACAAGTATCTGGTAAGGAGGCCAAGGAGATGATGATGATGATGATGATAAAAAAACTCAATTGCCTGGAGAGAAGCGTTACTGTAAGGAAGGAGCCAACTTTTCATTTCTATGTAGGTTTGCGTGAGTGTGTGGAAAATGCATGCTTCACCTCTGAGATGGAGAGAAACGTTGATGATCATTTTGCCCTGCAGGGTCTCATGATTTCATATCAGCATCCCATCTGAAGTAAAGCATGGGCGTTGTCTCCATTTTGAAAAACTCTATAAAGTTCGCCTACAGAAGAGCCTACGTGTTGGATGGGCAGGGCTGGGGAAGAGCTATATTCTGGACCTGACTTTCAGGAGGAATAGGGAACTAAGAAACCTTTTTGTCAAGCAACTTAACCAGCTTCTTTGGGGAGAGGAAATAATATTTGGGGTGGAAGCACAAGATAAACATTCTCTATGTTTGATTTAAAAACATCCTGACCAAGATGCTGGAGTTTACTTGCTGAAAGATGGGTTGATTGGGTAAACTGTTAAAGATGCTTCTTTGTATCAACAGCTCCTCAATTTGTCAGAGAAACGGCATGACATCATCCGGTTGAACCCCAAGGTGAGAGATTAGAGCTTGGGGGCAAGATGCTTATGTTAAATTGAGAGTACATCTAAACTGAGACAGTTTAGAACATCGAAG